CTCTCCTCGCTGCAGCGGCCCGGAGGCACCAAAGGCAGCCTCGTCAAGAGCGGCATGTTCTGAGCGGCGGCGGCGGCGGCGGCGGCCCCTCCCGCTCATTAGTATCCGCCGCCCGCCCATAGCAATGACCAGGGGCCCGGGCTGCGCCGGGCTCCGCGGGGCAGGGACCCCGCGCCCCCACGGGGGGCCGCGCCCGGCTCTCCTGGCCCCCGGCCCGGCGGCGGGGCCGGCCCTCAGCGCCTCCGCCGGGGCGGGGCAGGGGGCGGCCGAGCGGGGAGCGCTGCGGGGGCAGCGGCGGGCCGTGGGGACTGTGCCCGAGGGCGGCCCGGCCGCGAGGGGGGGCACCCTTCTCTCCCGTGGGGTTTTTTAAGTTCCTTTTCACRGTCAGCCGGCGGGACAAAGTGTCTTCTTCCCCTCCTCCCCTCCTCCCCCGCCACCCTCCCTCCGACCCCGGCCCCGCGCCTGGGGGCGGTCCTTCCTCCACCGTCCGGTGTCACTGTCCCTCCGTTGGGTCCTGGGTCTCTCCGTTGCCGCCGCCGCCGGTGCCCCGCCGGGTTCGGCTCTGACCCGGCGGCCGCCGCCGCTTCCTTACCGCGGATCCGGCCCCTGCAGGGCCCGCGCTCCTCACGGCGGGCGGCCTGTATTTATTATTAATTAATTATTATTAATTATTATTATTACACGGTCTACGCAGTTTTTAGGCATCTCCGTTAGGGTTTTCTAATTTTACTTTAAAAGGCACAAACTATAGCTCTTAGTTGAATGTCGCCAGGTATGCTTTCTCTTTTCCCGTGTCTTTCTACAACTGTGTTCTGTGGCTCAACTGTATAGTGTTAATATCAGTACAGACTTGTCTAGTTGACCGTATAAATAATGTTTTCCCTTCTCGTAGTCTCTATGGCGTGTCTTTATGGAGAAATAAGGTTCTCACGGGTTCGGTTCCTTTTGCGTTTAGAGAGACCAGGTTCAGGCAATTATATATATTTTTGTTATTGGTTGCATGTCGTCTCATTTATTTTTTTCCCTACCTGTTGGAATATGTTTGTGAGCATAATCGTCATAAATTATGTTCAGGGTTTCCAGATTTATTTATATGTGGTTAAAATGAATGCTTCTATTTAAAAGGGGAAATATTTCTACATGTGCATATAGTTTTCCAAGAGTGTACCATTAATTGATTGTTGATAATAAAAACCAAAAGCAAACATAGTTATGGTGCTCTTCTGACTTCTTGTTAGGGCTTTATCTGGGGGGACGTCTCGGGGTTATTTCTGATAGAGATCGAAGGTGCATGCTGCAGAGCCTGAGCTGTGTCATCAAAAGATGTGCTCAGCAGCATCAATCTCCGTTACCATCAGGAAGACCATAACKGAGCGTCCCATCATTACTGCCTAATTGTGCCCTGACTAATTGTTTGCAAACAGGCTAATTAGGGGGAGGAAGAGGTATTTTATCTTTTGTCACTACCTCGGAAATTAGATATAGACAATATTAAGCGATATCGTTAAAAGGAAAACAAAAGGGGCACAAACCMCCGGCCCGGTTCGCCAGCGGGTACGGCATCCCGCCGGTCGGGGAGCCTTGGCCAGCCCTTACCCCCGCACTTGTGCTGAATCCCTGTGCCGAGGGCACAGAGCGGGGCCGCCCGCGGGGACGGCTCCAGCCGGGCCAGGAGCCCCCGGCGGCCTCACACGCCGGGACCGGGCTGATTTGCGTTTACCTGGGCGAGCGGGCGGCGGGGCCGATGTGCCGGGCCCTGCGGGGCGCGGGGGAGCTGAAGACAACCGGCCGAGCCGGCAACCCGCTCCTTCGAAAACCCTCCGGACAAGGACGGGTTCCCTCCCTGAGAAGAGCCGGGGTCGCYGCTCATCCCGGTGCCCCCGGCGAGGGCAGCTCCTGCAGCCGGATACTCGCGGGGTCGCTGCAGGGACGTCGGGCAATGAACTCTCTCTGACTCTGGCACAGTCCGTGGAAAAAAAAAAAAAGTAAAGAAAAAAGTCTGTCGGTTTGGCAGAGAAGCAAACTTGGCAAGGGTCTTGTCATCTGCAGCATGCAACATCTGCATGGCTGGGGGCTGGGGAGAGCAGGATTAAAAATATGGCAAGTAGAGCAAATGCTGTTCCTGTAATAAAATACTTGAATCATCAGGTTTAATATGCTGCAATAAAATATGCAGTGTATTTTCTGGAGGAAAAGAACTTGAATGCATTTTTTGAATATATGTTTTGTTTTAATGTGGGCAGATTTTGCCATTTTGCTTTTTCTCCCAAAAGTCATCCYATGATCTAAGAATATCTTTGCTAAAAGCAAATGGATGGCCTGTAGGAATGACCCAGCTGTGGACTGCAGTGCAGTTCTGCTAATAGCGATCTACATGTAAAGGTTTTCCTGCTGGAGAAGCTGCAGTGCTCAATCTGCTTTACCATGGCTGAATTGACCCCTGAGCTTTTAGAGAAGGTGACACCTCTATTACCAGTAAAGCCAACAACCAAGGGTGATTTAAAGGTATCTCTCCTGGTCAGGTCTTGCTGTGTGAAGACCATGAGGTTACATTTTATAGCAGGCAGCTATAATATGAAGACATCAAGGGACAAAAACACACTACTATTTTTGGGCCAAGATGACTATTTTGTCTGCTAAAACTTGGGCTTTATATCTAACAGCAAGGTTTCARTTTCCTACTAGTGGATCTACTTACCTCTCTTTTCTCACACTGTAAACTGATTTGCATTTTGATCTGTCTTCTTCCTGGTAAGTTAAGTAGGCTGTGTCCTTTACAWCTCCCACCATTCTTAAGGTTCAAACTTCTACAATTTTTCCAGACCTGGAACCACTSTCTCCTGTTTCCAAAGATGCCTTGCAGAAGGGATACTAGGATAGTACCAAACAGCGTCTCTCTCAGTAATGGTTCATACAGACAATGATCACCTCTGTATTTTTGATCACAGTTTTCCACATAGGTATCTAAACTTCTCATTAGTCCTTTTTGGAAACTTCTGTCACTGACACTTAAATCCTTTCTTAAGCTACTGTTTTCCATGCTCTGRTCACCCCCACAGCAAAGGGAACCTTGACACCTGAGGCATATGGCACTTGGCATTTGTGAGACCAGAGACCAAGACTGCTTGTAACAGATCAGCTGTAATGGTTATTTCATCAACCTTCATGTTTGCTCAGACAGGTAGAAATGGATGGTTTGAAAATGCATTAAGTTTACTTCTCCTGCCTGTCTGCAAGGACAGGAGTTTGAAATGGAGCATTAKTTAAATAAATAACCTAAAGATTGCTGCTGATCTTTGCAAGCACAGAAGCTTGAAGCAGGCCACGGGGCACCCAGCAGCAGCCCAGGCAGGAAGAGGATGTAAAAGGCTGCTCACCAGTGGCACCAGGGAGYTGAGCAGGAAAGATGGCCCATAACACCCAGAGGTGCTCTGCGGCTCACARGGTAAGGAAATCCGGACAAAAGGAMCTAAGGARCCAAGAGATGCTCCAGTAAAGAAATGAATGTAGGGCTTGTTATTTTTCTTGGATTTACCGCCTCACATTGTTCAAATKAAGAATAATTAATTGCACAATCCGACCCAAATTCCACATGAACACGTTGCATTTTGAAGAGTCTAGAGGTAAATTCATATTGTGTGTTTGGAGCAATGTGAATGTTTMATTGTTTGATCTTCTAAATACCAAGAGTTAAAATTCAGGTCTAATGCTGAATTTGGCTCTTGCACACACTCTCACTTCTCTCCAAAACATGGACAGAAAAAATAATTYCTGATTGCAGTATGAATCTCTTGGATGGATGCATGACAGTGCAAACATTAATTTTGTTGATAAGGAATAAGASGTCAGCATACAGGAAAACTACAATTTATAAAAACAATTCCTTTAAATGATAAGCAAATGTGTCTAAATTGTTTAATCTTTATGTATTTGCAYATATTTAATAGAATTATCAAGCTATTACCAACCAGTGGGAAAAGGTGATGTCATGAAAAGTGCCTGTGGTCTATCAGAATATATTTTTAAATACTCTTTTCATCCCACCTTTTTTTGGCACTGTTGAAGTGTACCTGGCAGGAATCCCCTGAATGAGCCTGACTCCAGTCAAAGCTGTCAGCTTACTGCTGTTGTCTGAAACCTGAGCTCTTTCTGAAGTCAAAATCTGGAGTTTCTTTAAATGTAAAGGATCCCCATTRTACAGGGACACAAAACTCACTGTTAGTTCCTAGACACCTAAAAAACCAGTCTGTAAGTCTTGATGCACATTTAGCATAAAYCATTAGGAGTCAAAAAACATTAATCCATAGGTTAYCMTCATCAGCAGCAYTATGAATTCTATTAACAATGGGAGMTGAAGCCTTCTATTTCTGCCAAAAATTTAATTTGATCATTTACAAGTTGTCATCTGACAACTGCTATAAACTGGTGGTTTCCTCTTGGGTGCTACTAAAATCTGTCTCTGTCTTAAAAAAMCACTTTTGTCCCTTTTGCTTCACTCAAGAGCTCACCAAGTAGGTCAAGGAATTATTTGAGAGAAAAAAACATTTTCTTGATTCATGGGGAATTCATCCAGAAATAGCTCAAGAAATTTTAGCCATGAAAATAAAGCTTGTGTTTTTATATTTTAGGCTGAAAACTTCCCTTGAAGAGAGAAAATCCTCTTTGGATCTGATCCTTATCATGACCATCATGTCAATAGGACATAAAAACATTTGCACTTAAAAAGAAGTGTTACTTCATTCTATTACGACAGGCTAAGGCCTACTTCTTCCCATTTCTTTCTGAAAGAGAGGTAGTAAGGAAATGCCARTGACAACTCTTGCTGCTTCAAAGAGTGTTTAAATTACATATAAGGTCTATCAATAGCATTAGATAAAAGTTCAAAGCAGTCTTGGGAAGTACAAGTGAGCAAAAGTATGCCTTTCCAGAAGYCTGAAATCCAATGTCAGCATCAAGGCCTCTATCATCAGGCTTGACATGTGCTTAGGGTCTTCAGAAGCATTCATTATTGTTTAACAGAAAGATGTTTATAGAAATAGAATCAATATATTCATTTCCCCTAA